ACTGACAGCGTGAGCCCTGAACCGTGGTGCATGAAAATGATGAATGACACCTTTAAAATAGTTAAAAAATGAATGATTATTTAACCTACTCCGGTAAAGAAATTGTTAAGTTTTAAAGAACTGTGTCATTTGGTATTTCCTGCACTGCTTCTGGATCTGTTTTCACTCGGAATACTGGACCATTATAATCAATCCCCAAAAGTTGCAATTGTTTGTTATCAGAATATCCAGACTATTATCATTGAGTTATTAGGAAGTAAATTCTTTATTTTTTATTTCATTTTTTATATATTTTATACTAATTTCATTTACTGTAAAGTGAAAGTGATAACTCTAATTGAATAATCTTTCTATTGAAGTGTGTGAACTCTACTACTCTTCATGATTGGAGGAAATAAAAGAACCTACCTACCTTTGATATATATACTAAGTATATAATCTGTTTCACACTTCCTTTGTGTCTTTAATTGACAGTATCTTGTTTAATGAATTGAAAGTAAAACATGAATACAAATGGAACTGGCAACATATAGCATGTGACACCAGTAAGTTTACTTAATTTGTTAGCAACAAATGAGGTAAATAAATTATTAGATGTTTTATTTGTTTCTGAATTATTTACTAAACAAATATTTACTCTTTGAAATGTTTGTAGATTATCCTTTAATTGAAAAATTCTAAATCAACAATACTTAAATAATTAAAATAAACATTTAATAGCATTATGTTGTCGCTTATTTACTTTCTAGAAAAAAAATGGATGAGGGGTGAAGTGTCTTACTGATTTTGAGGGGTGAAGTGTCTTAAGGGATGAAGTGTCTTCAAAATTTGAGGGGTGAAGTGTCTTGCTACCGAAAATTATAGCAGACATGACTAGCAACTGCCTAACTAATGAATGACACTGCCTAACTAATGAATGACTATATATCATAAAATATTCTGATAACTCGTGTTAAATCGTACTATGGTGTATTATCAAAATCGGATAGGGCTTTTCTTTGCCCAGAAGTAAACCTATCACAAAGTTTACGATTTTACAAATAATTTCTGTACCCCACCCGGTTTAGCGTACAAAGGCTACCGACTTTATCTTTAATTTCGGACTTAAGGTCATATGTTGAACATTTACATTTCTCTCAAATTATGATAGAATATCAACCTTTTATTCTGTAAGAATATAACTGTTTCCAAGTCTTTGATTTTCAAATGCTTACATATTATTTCCGTCACATCAGTAAACTTTTGTTTGTGATGTCCGCCATTTGCATAACGTGACGTAATTGCAAATTCTCGATTCCCATTGGTTAGAATTTATGTGCATTATAAATAACGAAAAGCAGTTTTATAAATATATGCGAAAAGAACAGTATAATACGGAAAGTCATTCTGCCTATAAAATTATCAAAGAAGAAAATAATTATTGACTAATGTAACCATTCTTGATATCTGCAAATAGAAAGACCCTGCTGCAAAAATTATAACATCCTTTGTTCATGTGTACGCTCCCTTCGCAGCTCACGTTAATTCAGACAGTGAGCGATTGTGGAACATTCGACCAATGCGCAGGAGAGCAGTTTTCGGTCCGCGCCCCCTTCATTTTAACTTGTTAATTGTCGACTTTTCGCTTGGCGTGGTCGCGGGGCGAGACAACGAATGACACAGATCAGCTACTATAATTATTACGTGGGAACCATTTAAAACATAGTTACTAATATACAATATGAGCTTGACATAATAGTAGCGTAAAACTGCAATTAATGATCATCGTAAATTAGTGTAAGGTAAACTAAACGATCGTGTATCATGTATCGTATGTCCATGTTATTTTATTATATAATCACTACCCATAAATTGTAGGATCTTCTTGACAGATATTTTGTTACAGACAAACACAGAACATTATATATATCTGCAAGATCGCATTATATATATTTTTCTTTCATAAGCGTTTATTTTATATTGTGTGGTCTTTTTGCCCCCTCAAAATATGTAAATTGCAGTCGATGTGTTACAAATGAACTTGATATAAGCAGTTAAAATTGTATACTGGTTGTACTATCTACCGGGAGTGTTTCAAGCATTACTAGGAACACCATCATATAATACAGAAAAAGATGTAGGATAAAATAGTTATTTTCTATAGAAGGTACCCTTTTTTATGAAAATAACAGTTATCCAAAAGAAATTTTAACCATACATCAAAAAGATAGTTCTGTTAATAACCTCATATGATAGGCAGCCATCATTGTTTTTAATTATTACCAGGAATGACTTTTTGGCAATCAATTAAAAATTTAAACAAGAGGGCCATGATGGCCCAAAGTCGCTCACCTGTATATAGGCCCCTGGAGCGGGGCCAGTTTAAACCCCAGGGCTTTTATTTGAACAAACTTGGTTGTATATGTATGCATGTATATATATATACATACATATATATATATATATATATATATATATATATATATATATATATATATATATATACATATACATACATACATATATATATATATATATATATACATACATACATATATATATATATATATATCATATATATACATAATATGTATATATATATATGTATATATATATATGTATATATATATATATATACATTATATATATATATATATATATATATATATATATATATATATATATATATATATACATATATATATATATATATATATATATATATATATATATATATATATATATATATATATATATATTAATATATATGTGTATATATATATATCTATATAACTAAAAAAAAAAAAGTCAAGCTAATGAATGACCCCCGGGGCGGGGCCAATTTTGACCCCAGGGCTTTTATTTGAACAAACTTGGTAGACACTCATGAGAACATGTTTCATGCTAAATATCTTAGCTCTAGCTCTTTGAGTTCTTTAAAAGAAGATTTTTTTAAGTTTTTACTATATGCACATAGGGAAAATCAATGACCCCTGGGGGCGGGGCCAATTTTGACCCTAGGGCTTTTATTTGAACAAACTTTGTAGACACTCATTAGAAGATGTTTCATGCTAAATATCTTAGCTCTAGCTCTTTGGGTTCTTTAAAAGAAGATTTTTTAAGTTTTAACTATATGCATATAGGGAAAATCAAAGACACCCTGGGGCGGGGCCAATTTTGACCCTAGGGCTTTTATTTGAACAAACTTGGTAGACACTCACTAGAAGATGTTTCATGCTTTATATCTAAACACTAGCTATCTGGGTTTTTTCAAAGAAGATTTTTAAGTTTTTGCTATACACAGTCATATAAGGAAAATCAATGACCCCCGGGGCGGGGCCAGTTTTGACCCCAGGGCTTTGATTTGAACAAACTTTGTAGACACTCACTAGAAGATGTTTCATGCTTAATAGCTAAACTCCAGCTATTTGGGTTTTTTAAAAGAAGATTTTTTAAGTTTTTGCTATACACATATAAGGAAAATCAATGACCCCCGGGGCAGAGCCAATTTTGACCCCAGGGCTTTTATTTGAACAAACTTGGTAGACACCCATTAGAACATGTTTCATGCTAAATATCTTAGCTCTAGCTCTTTGAGTTCTTTAAAAGAAGATTTTTTAAGTTTTTACTATATGCATATAGGGAAAATCAATGACCCCCTGGGGCGGGGCCAATTTTGACCCTAGGGCTTTGATTTGAACAAACTTGGTAGGCACTCATTAGAAGATGTTTCATGCCAAATATCTAAGCTCTAGCTCTTACGGTTTTTTAGAAGAAGATTTTTTAAGTTTTTCTTATTGGTTGCCATGGCAACCAGAGTTTTTAATGGAATTTAAATTTTTGAACAACTTTGAAAGGGGTCCACCTAAGGATCATTTCTGTAAAGTTTGGTTGCAATTGGCCATGTAGTTTAGGAGGAGATGTTGTTTGAAAAGTTTGACGCCATTTTTTGAAGGACGCACGACGCACGACGCACGACGCACGACGCACGACGGACGCAGAGTGATGACAAAAGCTCACCTTTGAGCACTTCGTGCTCAGGTGAGCTAAAAACGTATGGAAATGGTCCATTACTGCTTATGATACTAAAGTTCTATTCAATATTTATCAGTTATCACACAGTAAAAGGGTAACAATTTGATAAACATTTGCACACACATTCAAAATATCATGTTGGGTCCAAATTGTTAGTCATACTACTGGTTTTTATATGTAAACACATATATGTGAATTGGAATATTTAAACTTCGAATTTTCTTCATAAAAATGCTATATTTTGTATGATATTAATGTGAAAATCACTTGCATACAAACTAATTTTTTATGAAAGAATAATTTGTAATATCTGGACATTCCTGGTACAAAGTGCCTCCCGGTATAAAGTACCTTGGGAATATTTTGTCTGAGAACACTTCTAAGTCTTCTCGAATAATGCCATCATGATAAAAAGTATGTATACCTTGGTAAGATGGAATCTGCATAATATGTTGAACAATATTTTAAATCTTGTTTTCATGAATATTGCTGTGAGCATTACTAAATCACAAAATAAATGCAATTAACTCAAAGAAATATGTTATGGCACAAAATGTGCCTTAAATGATTAATCCTAACGTAATAGAATTAGACTTATATTTCAAACAATTTCTAGATACATTGTACTTCATTTGTAGAAATAACAGTTCCTTTCGATCCGACAAAATCTTGAATTTGAACTAATTTACCTGATAATTTCATTCAAGATACGGATTTTTATGAAAAATTTGGTTCACGATACGGGCGATGGTATAGTATGGTTGCATGTATTATTTAACATTATCATCTTTCTTAATGCGCCTAATTGATCTATCTTTTTAGCTAACAAAACAATATCTTGTACACTATCATTCTGTGATAATTTTGTTGTTGTTGTTTTTAATTTCTCTTGTGTCAAATAAACCGTTGTCCTAATTTCTCTTACTTCTGTTTAAAGTCAAACAAGCCATTGATTTTCTGTCTATCAATTAACAACTAAAAACAATTTGAACATTAAATGATTATTTATTTTTATTCTTGTACATGTACAATCTTATTAACTTATGAACTGGATTCCTTGTAGAATGTCGTTACATGTCCGCCACACGCATGTGCTGCCTTAGGATCCAGTTGATCTTTGGTTGTAGAAGTCACGGCAGAAGTACTTAAAGCACCCAGTAAGCGCAGCTGCAATAATTTAGAAAAAAAGAATAAGCTCAAAACACTTTTGGTTATGGGAGAAATTTGAAAGTATATTACAACGAAAGGAATAAAAAAAATCATCAAAATTTTATTGGATGTAAAAAGGCATTTTTTTACACTTGTTGTTATCGGCTATTTAGCATACTTTTGCTGTAAATTATATTTTAATTGTTATTGTTATCATAGTACATGTAGTAGTAGTAGTAGTAGTAGTAGTAGCAGTATCAATGCAAATAATATGAGAAATATTGATGTATAAATAAATAAAGAAAACAATGGAAAAAAATCAGATTTGTACCAAAAATATACGACAATAAGAGGCAATAACAGAACATTATATGTCGGTTTCAAGAATACAAATGAGCCGTGCCATGACAAAACCAACAAAATGGGTTTGCAACCAGCATGGATCGACCAGCCTGCGCATCCGTGCAGCCTGCATCCGCGCAGTCTGATCAGGATCCATGCTGTTCGCTTAACAACTCTATTACAAGTAGAGAAACTGACAGCGAACAGCATGGATCCTGATCAGATTGCGCGGATGCGTCGCAAACGCACTATGTTGGTTTTGTCGTGACGCGGCTCAAATAAAGCTTACCTCTACTGCACGTATACCAGCGTCTGTGTGGACAGCTGACTTTTCACTGTCACTTAATGCAAATACATAGCATTCCTTTGCGCTAACTACAACCATCATTTGCTGAAAATATATTTGAAGTTTACTTATCTTTATATATCATTGAACTATACGATAATTTATATGATTTATAATGAATTCTAGGGATGGGATTAAATCATGTATTAATTAGTGTCCATGCAATCTATGTGTCGCCAAAAAAGCATTTGATTAAGATATAAAAATGTATAGCTATTTCAGTAATTTTATCATGTAGTAACATAGTAACGTTATTGTTGAGAGTAGAAAACCATCACTTACAGAGTGAGGTTCGTAGATAAACTTGAAAGATTCCCTCGCTGGAGGCTCCCTCGTCGTGTTGGTGTGATGATGTGTGTGATTGTGGTTATGAACATGGTGAGGACTTTGTGTTGTTGTCATACACTGAAACAAACCATGTTTTATTGTACATATTACACAGAATTATTGGTACCATTTTTTTTTCCATCTGTTGCTTTTTTTTGCAAATCAGTACAGTTATAAAGATTTTATCATTTTAGTATTTTGTATGGAACCCAAAATACTACTTTGTTTACATTTTGTTTTATCCATGATAAATCATCTTACATTTAGTGCTTCTTTTTTCAGGTAACAAGCATCTAACATGCTAGGCAACAAGCATCTAACATGCTCTAAAAACCATTATTTAAAAGTTATGAAACTCATATTTGCCCTTTCTGAACAAGTAAATATTTATTTGTTTCTGAGGCATGATGTGCCTTTACTTTGTTTAAGAAATAAAGCATATATGATTCAGATTACCTAAATACTATATTAATTTTATAAATGATAAAGCGGAAACATAAATACGCTACCATAACATATGAAACACAGACAAAACAGGCTAGTAGAACCCTGAGCATGATGTAGCTTCTCTTGGTCGCCGGCTGAGTAAGGCAATGATACTCGTCCACAAAGACGCTTCGTATTTATAGTTGGTCACATTTTATATTTAGTAACATATTATCACAATTTCAGTACAGTTCTAAATACAGATATAAGTAGACATGTCACATTTTTAATGGATCCATATGTTCACATCGCAGACGTAATACAAACGATCTTAATTAACCTATTTGTACCAAATTAAACTTCTAATCTTAACCTTATTGTTTGCACTTTTTCCTATTTAAAAATTTCATATAAAGGAAGAAATTTTTACTGAGCAGAAATATTTAGACGGAAAACCAACATTTCACTATTAATTTTATTATCTCGTTGCGTACGTTTTAATTAAATACATTATGCCTTAGAAACGAATATTTTACCTTCTTTAGAAAGAGGAATATCAAATTGTATCACCTTTATTTTCACCTGCACTGAGTATGAAAATAATTTGAAAATGTAAACACAGTAACATTTTGACTTCCATACCAAATACTTAATCAAAATCTTTACTGATTGGTTAATAAAGACAGAAGCAAAAAAAAAATGGTTCTGGGCAATGAGAAGCATTTTAGACACCAAAAAACTATAAAGGTGAGAAATAGCATTAATTCCTTTATGAGGCATAATGGGTTTTAAGATTTTAACAACAAAGCTAGACAGATTTATCAAAGTGGACAATGGACATCTTAGCAAACTCTTGTTATAGAGTTTGAAGTTGTTTTTTTTAATCGTAAGATATTTACTTAAGTAAATCGGAATCTATTAGTTAGTAAAAGTAAATTGATTATTAATAAAAAAATAATTCCGAATAACAGTTTATCTAAACGATTTAAGCAAATGTAATTTTAGTATGGTGCCAAGATTCAAATATCTTTGAACCTTATTGTTCAATCATTTTTCTCTGTATAAAAACTGCAAAAATATTTAAAAGACGGTGATTTTTTTATTGTCTTCAATATTTTGTAACTATTTGACCTTTGTAATGGTAAAAGTTTTGAATTTTTGAATTAACCTGTTGACCTATCTGTCCGAGATGGCACGATGTAACCATGGAGAGCTTAGATTGTTCTAAATTTGAGAGCTGACAGTCGTATATAAACAAATATTACGCAGGCAATGGACGAAAGGTAGTTCAGTACACTAAAATGTGAGAACTATATGTGACTTGTTAACCTAAATATCTGTACGAAACACATAATAAAGATGTTTTCGTTACCTTGTATTTCCTATATTGTTTCTAATATGGCACATCTTACTCTAAAAGACTTATTGTGTTTTAGTACGCTGGTAATAGGTAAAAATCGAAGACATCCCACAAACACACACGCACGCACGAACACATACACAGCACACCCTCTAGTGCACATACAAACACACTTGGCTTTTCAACGGTTTTCATCAAATGCTTCAATTACTTCACTGAAATAAAATTGTTTTTACATATTTTAATGTTTCAGGGTAATGTTATTCTGAACTAGAACTCCACGAGTCGGATGTGTTGCATTGTGAACAATATAATTTAGGAGAAATGGTGCACCTGTCATTATTTTGCCCGCCCGGGGGGGGGGGGGGGGGGCGGGCTGACCCAGGGGAATTTGACATCTTAAAATGTTTGAAGTCTAAATCCCCACCCTAAAGACAACCATTTTTGTCTAAATCCCCACCCTTGAGTCTGCTTGGTGCATCAAATGCCCCGGGGGTAGGGGAGAGGGTAAATATCTAAGAGATCAATCAATAAATACAACTGTTATCAGAAAAACAATGAAAAAAGGCTTATCATTAGGTAAAGAAATGAATCCAGATAAATGGGCCTCTGAAGTAAGGTATGTATAGTCCAAATGATAATATATGTATGAATTTCAGTTTAATAACTTTGATACTTTTCAAATGATTAGACTTAGAAGAAACTTATTAAATGGGTATTTTCAAGTAATAAAGGGGTATAATTCTGAAAATAATGCATCCACAGTTGTAGGCCTTCTTAGTATGGTAGTGGTAGTCCCACTAAATACCGGTACCTAGTTAAAATCGAAGACATCCCACCACCCCAACACACACGCACGCACGAACACATACACAGCATACCCTCTAGTGCACATACAAACACACTTGGCTTGTCAACGGTTTTCATCAAATAACTGAAATAAAATTGTTTTTACATATTTTAATGTTTCAGGGTTATGTTATTCTGTTAGGATACTAGCTATTCTGAACTAGAACTCCACGAGCCGGATGTGTCGCATTGTGAACAATATAGTTTAGGAGAAATGGCCATGAAAAAAATGAAATATGAAAATTAACACAGGGCAATAACTCAAAAAATAAAAAGTGCAGAGCAGCAGTTCTTGTGCAGTTTACTTTTTATCAATAAGAACTATCATCCTATGAAGTTTCAAGTCCATGGCTTTTATAATTTATGAGAAATGGCCTGGACAAAAGTAAAGTATGAAAATTAACAAAGGGCAATAACTCAAAAAATAAGAAGTGCAGAGTATCGGTTTAATACACTGCACTTCTTCTTAATAAAATCTATCATCCTATGAAGTTTCAAGTCCATGGCTTTTGTACTTTAGGAGAAATTGCATGGTCAAAAATTAAGTATGAAAAATAAGAAAGGGCAATAACTCAAAAATTAAGAAGTGCAGAGTACTGGTTCTTGTGCACTGCCTTTCGGGTCATTATAAGAAACATGCATGCCAATTTTGAAGTCAATCAGACTTATAATGACTGACTTACAGACCGATTATAGAATGTTACAAAGATATGAAAAATTCAAACACATGTTTGTATTAACTCATACAAAAACACAATAAAGAGAATAAATGAAGATTTTAGAAAATTCAATTACAGATGGCAAGAAACATTTAGAGAATATAAGAAAAGGATAACAGGATGAACAAATAATCAAACATATGATATCATGAATAATTGTCGGGAGAAAGCACACAAAACTTATTTTATAATATTGCACGTTTGTAACGTCGCTTTTCATTGGATAATCGTGACGTTTATATAGTTTTATATACACGGATGTTGTTGATTCATAATGAATATCTTACTTTTTTATCTAAAAATGATGCTTGCAGTATTATAATTTCGTTATAAAGATTGCTGACAGGTTATATGGCTGTACATAAACGGCTGTTTGTAATATAACCCTCGCCTAGCGGCTCGGGTTATATTTACAAATAGCCGTTATATAGGGCCATATAATCTGTCAACAATCTTTATAACTAATAATATTATACCTCATTTGCATATGCCCTTCTATATTTAATATGACGTCATCCGGTCCATAAACCGCATACAGACCGGGGGCGGTCCATAATTCTTATATGGACTGGATGACGTCATATTAAATATAGAAGTGCGTATGCAAATAAGGTATTATATTTTATTTTGTTGTTTAATGAATCTTTTTAATGAATTTATTGTTTGGTTTTACATAAATTTATTACATGTTGATCAAAAGTCATGATTTGTCTTTAAGTTGATTATAAATTTTATTTATACAGTTTGTGAAAATCTTAAAGTTCGGTGTTTCTTTGCCTGTTTAATTTTATTAACAAAAATTGAATTACAAAAGAAGAGCATATTGTTTTTTTGCTGTATCGCTTGAAAATAATAATAAAAAATCCGACTAGGGTTTGAGATATTTCACACACTGAACAAATAAATTATTATTTGAAAGCAAATTATAGTAAAATGACAGCAACAAAAGGGATGAAAGGATTTAGATTCGGTATAATATAACAAATAAAACATGGCCTTTCGGGCAAAATGCAAGTTTACGGACTGGTTGGTCAGACCTTGGAAGGTATATGTCCCTCAGCTGCGCTTCGGGCCATATACCTTCCACAGTCTGACCAACCAGTCCGTAAACTTGCATATTGCCCTCAAGGCCATGTTTTATTTGTTAATTATACTGTGAAGTAAGTGTATTACAAGGGAAAAATTCATTAAAATGGATTTACAAATGTATTGCATTTTTCAATATTAAGAAAAAATCTAAACGTTCAAGTAATGTACATCATACATATTTCTACCTAGAAAAAAATTAATTATTGACAAAAATTTTTGTTTGAATGAAAAAAAAACAAGAAAGAAAGATTTGGTTAATTTAAAAAAAGAAAGAACAATTTTACAAGAAGAAAAATCGTTCACATATTTGTTTCATAGTAATGAACATTGTAATATTAGAAGTAAAAGATAAGTAAATGTTTAAGTTTAAATGAAATCCCTTATCCCAAATGATTTAGTACAAACTTAAATACATTTACCTAGCTTACCAGACCAGTATTTTAAGTTTTCTTTCTTTTTTATTTCTCTGATTGCATTATTACTAACTTCAAAATATTGTAATGGAATGTATGAATATTCAAACATCTTGGTGTATCATATATATATTTTATAATATCACAGCTGGAACTATAAATAATCTAAAAACAATCTCTCGATTATATAATCTGTTACCATAATGAGCAAATTACAAAAACATGTCACTGTTTTCTGTGATTGGCGTCCGCGCCGAAGCGCGGCGCCCTTATGGAATGAAATCAGATTTTGTGAAAGGGCGACAGCAACTTCTCGAGCCTTATAGTCGGTCATAATAAAAGCCGATCATTCCGATCGGTATGAGGGTGCTTGATTAAAATCAAAGTGCTGCAGCACTGAATGCGACGGACATGCAACCGGAGGGACATTTAGGCTTCTTTTAGAAAAAAAAAAAAACACAAACAAAACACAAAATATATAACAGAGAAAATTTGTTCCATACAAGTTCGAGATTTGTAGAGCAATATATTTTGTGTCCCAAATTGATATAATTCAGATTTTCGATTTCAATTAATATTAAGCACTTAAATACAGAATGAAATTTATGCCTAAAAACTCTGGTCAAACTTGTAAATCAGTGTCCTTATCGATTTATTCTAAGAAATGATATGTAAATAGAAAAAAAAACTATCAACGAAATATTTCTAGAATAAATCCAGGCAAATAAACTTCAAACATAATACATTATACATTTGAGAATGCTATTTAGAATTGCTTCGTATTATATCATAGTGGGCA